TGCAACATTTTTATCAATCACCATCTTAGTTTTCCATTGAGGCATTCTTTTAATATTACCATGAATTCTTGGTAGAAGACCATTGTTTATCAGATGATTTCTAATATTTTCAAAATAAGTCCTACCAATTCCCAACATATCAAGATAAGTTTCTTGACAAAGAGGTGTATTGTGATCCCAATGATAGAAAGTTTTTTTATTGGATCTGGTTTTCTTTTTAAGGCGTCTACTAGTGCTTACTGAACCACCATCCATTACCTTAAGTTGAGCCATTAAAAATATGTCTTGTTCTACTTTAGAAAGAGCTTGAAATGATTCTCTTAATTCTGCAAAATTTTCCTTAGGAATCCTGGAAGAACAACCACAACCACAGCCTTTTTCTAAAAAATCAATTGCTTTTTGATATTCATTAGAACCATTATTTTTATCACTTTTCATGTATATACACTTATCCCTATATATAATTTTATGTTCACTTTGTAGGTTTCTTTAATTATTTTAAAATCAAAGGTTTTAAGATTGGATGGAATAGAATTAAATTGTGAATTTGTAATAAAAATTGAAAATAGTTTAAGTATATACCTGATAATTAGTTTAAATATGATTGATTATTGAATAATTTATGAAGAGAAATCTCCAAGAAATCTGGTCAATTGGTTCAACTTAAATCTAGACAATAACTATTTTTTATCAAAATAAGACAAGTTGGTGAGAGAAAAAGAGACTGAACAAGTATTTAAAAAGGCAAACAATTAATAAATATTTGCAATATTTTGTTTTCATCAATGGCAATTTAATAAAAAATGATTTTTGTAAATGTACTTATTTATTTCAATAATGAAACTCAAATATAATTTCAGAAGTCAAACTGCTTCTAATAATCAATTAACAATCAGACAATTACATTTTTACTTATGAAACAAATTAAATTAAATTAATTTGTTTGTTTGTTAACTTTATTGATCTTAAAGTCTCTATATTTATACCAATTTAAATAATATAAATAATGATAAAAATACTAAGAATATTATTATCTTATTGGTGTGCCAATCAGTGTTCGAAATTCGACTGCGCCTTTACATAAACTAATCTAATTTTAGAAATTATCTGCGGTTAATTTCCATATTTGGTTAGTGCGCGCCGATTCCGCCGATTGAATTTCGAACAGTGGTTATAACATTATTTATATATTAATAAAAATATTTTTTTTAATTTGTATCACCATTAAATGTCACGTGATATAAAAATTTTATTGCATTTTTGAGCATAACTTACAATTCTGAGTTTTGGTGATTTTTACCAAAATTGGCCACGAGGCGCAGCAAGTTGCGGGACTAGGTGACTTGCACCATATATACTTTTTATCTTCGATTATTATTAGACTCTGTCTGACAGACATGATTTATATTATTTATTTCCCTTGATGGAATGACGTGTGTAACAAAAAATTCTCTTGTATATTATTGACCAACTCTTTCTGGTTACTTTTTAACAATTTAACAGTTTTCTTTATCAGAATTAATTGATGAATAATTAAATAATTATTATTAAATAAATTAAAAAAAAAGGCAAGAACAATTTCAACATTAAAAAAAAATTTCATTATCATCAAACAAACCCTAGTGATTGATTTATCGTGATAGGATTTTAGCACTCTTTAAAACTTCAAAATTTTAAACTTACAAAGCCTGTACCTAAACCTGTCTAACGTATCATGTAAAAGTCGTTCTACATGCCAATATTGATTAGTATATATGTGTTTCAAACTAAGGCACTAAAGACAGCTCTAGCATGTTTTTATTTTATTGTTAATATTTTTATTATCGAAAAAAATCAAGTTAATACAACCCTATATACTAGTATTGACATGCTTCAATCTCAGGCCTTAAAGACAATTCGAAGGTGTTTTGATTTTTTTCATTTTATGAAATATAATAATAAAAGAATTGCAATAGAAAGAAAAAAAAAATAGCATAAATATAATAAAATAATACTATATGTACTATATGTGATAGTAGTTTACAATTTCACATTTTATGTTTGTTTTTTATTGTCCTATAAAAACAAAGTGTTGAATAGACATACTTAATGTTAATATTTAATATTCAAAATCAAGTTTTTAATATTAGAGCACTTATGAAATTCTTGGTCTTCAGAGAAAGGTGATTAGATATTATAGCAATAATCAAATTTTTTATTAAATCACAATTTTTAGGTCAAAAAAAAACAAAATGAATGCTGTGATCATAAAAATTCAACAGTTCGGAATAACTTCAGATCCTTACTAATAAAAAAAAACTCCACTATAGTAGCACTATTTAATAAAAATAATCCTTAAAAATAAAAATATTGTTTTTATTTTCTCCATTTAAAACACTGGTAAATGCAACAAGTACACAAGTGCCAACAATTGTGGAGCATTAGTAAAAAGCCATATTTCTTTTCTTCAGTGAGTAAGCAAAGGTTTGGTACTGGAAGTTGTTAACTAGTAAGTGTTAGCAATAATTAGTAAAGCATCATCCAAAGGTTAATTGTAAATGTAAGGCTCTTCTTAAACAAACCATTCAAGTTGTTTTGTAAATAAATCAAAGCAAGTTTGCAATTAATCAAGAAATGTAAATAATTGGCCACAGGTGAATACAAAGGAACTTTATAAAGGCATTTTGAGCTTTGTAATAGAGCCATCTTTATTTACATATATACAAGAAAGGAGTAGTAATGTAAATTTGTAAACTAATTAATTGACAAGCAACAAATTATTTGCAATTAACTGACAAGGGTAGCCCAAAAGTTAAGCCATACATCAAAAGGTCAGCTTGCAATACCACCATTTAACAAGCAATAAAAAAGGAAATTCTGCATTATTGTAAAAAATAAATTAAAGATAAAATAAAAAGATAAATGATTATAATAAATAAATTTATAGTGTTTGTAATCAATTAAATGCAAATAAAAAAAATATTATTAATCAATGTATTGTAATTTCCAATTGATTAATAATAAAATTTTTATTCACCTTCAGCAGTATTTAAAAGAAAAAGGTTAAAATCAAGTTCGTTTAATGAACTATCATTACTTGTATAGTGCTTTAAGCTTTTTGATTTAGCAATTTCTTCATCCAATATTCTACTTGTATGATATGCATCTGGATGTAATTTGTGTATTTGTTGTGAAATACTACTACCATTATTATGACTACTGCTAATACTAATATTGATATTATTATTAAGAGTTTCTTTATATTTATTTTTAGAAAATTCATAAAGCTCTATACTAGTTGGTCTTTTTAATGGATCCAAATCCCAACACTTCTTCATCATTTGTGCATAATCATCAGGCATTCCAGATAATATTGGTGGTCGTAAACCTTCACATATATCAAGAATTAAATGATGGTTGTGAGCTCTATCATCAAATGGTGGATGACCTGAAAATATTTCCCACATTAACATTCCAACACTATAAATATCTGTTTCTTTTGTATACATTGTATTAATTTTGCCTCTAAGTAGTTCAGGTGCAACATATGGCATAATTCCATAAATTTTATTTGATGATTTTTCATCAACTGGTCCACATGATCTCAAATCTGTAATATAACAACAACCTCTATCCACTAATATATTTCCACTATGTAAATCACAATGGACTAAGTCTTTTTTGTGTATATGATATAACGATTCACATAAAAATCCAATGATTGTAATTCTCTCATTTAATGTTAAATATAAATGTCTTTTCAAATAATCCCTTAAACTTCCTTCTGCTAAATAAGATAAAACTATTGCATAATTTGCATTATTTGGGAATTTAGTTATACCATAGCAAGAAACAATCCCTGCTTTAATTTTACAATAATTCTTTGCCTGAAATTGAAAATAAGATCAATCAATATTATATAATACAGTATTGCTTAGTTTGTTTTAAATGACAATTACCAACCTCATTAAAAAAGTCTTTTCTTGAATTATTTGAATAATTTAAACTTTTTAATACAATTCCTTGCTCTCCTAAATAACTAAATTTCTTTTTATTTTTCATCATAATACTTAATGATTCCTCTTTTCCATGTAGCAGTGTAAATTGAACTACGTTCACCTTTATTTAACATTTTTATATTATAAAATTGTTCATAAGGTATCCATTCTATAATTTTATATGGAAGAGATGATTTCATTTGACATTGTTGAATAAAATCATCAATGTGGTTATTTCCTGATGTCCATGTAGTGAAAAGACTGTAATTGTAAATTAATACAACCTTCACAGAATCTATAAGAATATCTTGTCAACTTACATTTGTTACATTCTTTTGGTTTGCCTTTTTTATACATTGCATTATTTAGCTCAATGTCATAAATAAACATATCCTTACAATAGTCTTTTTCATTTTTGGAAAGCTCTTTATTATTATCGATTAATGTGAAAATGTAAACCTTTCTATTTTCTCTATTAGAATTAACAAAAGCGTGATTATGCATTTCATAATAAATGTTATATACAGGTTCATTTCTTTCTGTTGATAACGCAATTGGCATTACAAATTTTTATAAAATTTAAATTTGACTTAATTTATTGCGTTTTAATGAGAAAATGGTTTTTTTTTTTAGAGAATAACAAAAATGTGAACAGCTGTCTTATTTATATGTTACGTTTAGTCCGTTTATTTATTCATCCATATTATTCTTTATTAGCTCAATTACTTTCCTAATACTAACCGAAAATCAATTTATTTAAATGTAAATTATTCTGGTTATTCGAAATTGTAATCGGAATTATTTCTGATAACTTGTATTTGTATTAATATTAATATTCGGAATTATATTCTACAAATTTTTGTGAATAAAAAATACATTATGCTGATTTACTTACCAACACATTGAAAACCTATTACACTAATATCTGCACCTTTATCATGAGCACACCAATTCGAATGAGATCATTGCAGTTTTTGTACACATTGTTTCTTTGCGATGGTGGACTAACCTCACCCATGAATATAACGGCTTCTGTCTGAAGTTAATGGATGACTGAGACAACAAATTCTGGTTATTGACCTTCAAATTTACTTTCATTTAGAGCCGTATTAGGCCATTGGACGTTGTGTTTGTCCGGATGATGGAAGGTTCCCTTCATTATACAATCTAAATAATTTGTGGTTAATGTAATTTCACTAAGTTCACTCTTGATCTCCTTACTAGGTAATCTTTCCAGACCTTTCAAAATTATATAACCATAATTCTCCTTCAAATTTTGATTACTTGCAAGTTCTTTAAAGAGCCAATCCATGGAGATTTGATCTTTCTATATATACAGGTGATTAGATTATTTATCACACTGTTTTTTTTCTCCTGCTCTCTTAATAATAATAACGCGTACAAGTTTTTTTTTGTGTATTGTAGTGCAAATATTCTTTATAAATAGCCCAAATATCTTATTTTATAAATTTAATTACTATTACGTGGCGGATTTAAAAACAAAATATGTCAACATTATATAGGTAATTATTATCTTCGCTCACATATATAAGATTTTTCTTCATAAATGATTGGTATAATAATAAATAATAATAAATAATAATAAATAATCATTATAAAGGCAAAACAACAACAAGCCATGACGAAATCAAGAGCAGATTTCCCATCTTCGATTATTTTTTACGCGTACTCCCCTGCCGTGCTTTCCTTTGGAGAATAAAGGAGAGGAAATTTACAGGTGTTACTTATTCCCATCTTCCTCCACAGACGCACAAGGCTAATCTGACCTATCGACCCCGACGAAGCAATGATCTAAACCCAGGGGGGGAATGTGGTCCTGGGGTTATTAGCTGCATCATTGTCAAGTGGATTCTAGTCTTCCCTTGTAGCACTTGGGCTGAGGGGATGATAAAGGCCAACCTTAAAACGACCCTTGTGGGATCTATTGAGGCCTTTCACTTGTACAAAGCCTCCAAACATATGGGGACCTTCACCTGTGTAAAACAATCAAAACAATTACACAGTCCAAGGAACGAGAACATTAAGGGTCTTATCTTGGTTATGGAGGCGGGTTAAAATCCAACCACATGTTTGTAGTAGAGGAATATTTTTATAAATCTGACTCCCGTGATTAATATCAGATTTATTTTTAAGAAATATATATAACTATACAATAGTGGGGACAAAGGTATTATCAAGCATGTTTTGACGAAATCAAGAGCAGATTTCCCATCTTCGATTATTTTTTACGCGTACTCCCCTGCCGTGCTTTCCTTTGGAGAATAAAGGAGAGGAAATTTACAGGTGTTACTTATTCCCATCTTCCTCCACAGACGCACAAGGCTAATCTGACCTATCGACCCCGACGAAGCAATGATCTAAACCCAGGGGGGGAATGTGGTCCTGGGGTTATTAGCTGCATCATTGTCAAGTGGATTCTAGTCTTCCCTTGTAGCACTTGGGCTGAGGGGATGATAAAGGCCAACCTTAAAACGACCCTTGTGGGATCTATTGAGGCCTTTCACTTGTACAAAGCCTCCAAACATATGGGGACCTTCACCTGTGTAAAACAATCAAAACAATTACACAGTCCAAGGAACGAGAACATTAAGGGTCTTATCTTGGTTATGGAGGCGGGTTAAAATCCAACCACATGTTTGTAGTAGAGGAATATTTTTATAAATCTGACTCCCGTGATTAATATCAGATTTATTTTTAAGAAATACAGTACCTTAGCAAAAGTTTCGGACACCCCAAATACATTAATTAGGCAAAAACGTACATAATAATTATGCGAAAATTTTTATATTATTTGGATCCTAGTATTCATGTATTTAAATATAAAATTTTAGATTCCCAGCTTTTATACAGCTCAAAT